TTCTAGAAACCCTCATTAGGCCTCTGCAGCATTCACAAAACCTCTGTGAGACCATCCAGGAAAAGAGACACCGACCCCTGCTACCCTCTTCCTGCTCCTGTCAGTGGCAATGGCTTTTCCTCACAGGAAAAGTACTGAACCTGCCCAAAGATGCCACCACCTTGTTATCAGGGTTTGCTTCACCTTCTCTCCTGCTGTAGCAGCTCCAAAGCATCTGCCCAGCAAACATCTGGGAGGAAGGGACACTGGACAGGAGGTGGGAAGCAGCCAGGCTGAAGAGGTACAGAAGATGTACCCACCTCATCCTCCAATTAAGCTAATAACCACACAGGTGAGAAGCAGGTATGAATTATCTTGGCTCTTTCAGACTATTCCTCCTGCCCAAATAGGCTCAGGGTAGGTGCCACAGGTCCACTAGTTCACCCTGCCCACAGTGACCTCGCTGTCCTGGCCCCATTTCTACCTGTTGGCACTCCCTGAGAAGCAGCCTGATCTCCAACTCCATCATGCTCTGGCATCAATCTCTTGGTAATCAAATGTTATTTGATACAGCAAGAGAAATGCTGTAATGAAACATAAAATGTCAGTACTTCAGCCCACAGTTGATACAGGCAATGCCTCTGTGAGGTTTTAGGAAATACTCCCTCTTATCCCCACTGTGGCAACTCTGCTTAGCCGAAGTTCCTTTCTGGCTTTTAGGCTTTTACTAAATCTCCCCACCAAACGAGAACTAAAGTACAACTCTCCTGCAGCACACGAGCAAGGAGAACAAAGGCCCTGCGAGCAGCAGGATAATGCTGCCTGCGGAATTAGCCATCCACAGCCATCAGCTTTCCTTAGGGCCACGAGGAATAACTGCCAGGACAGGTGAAGCACCAACAAACACTGCAAAAGAAAAGGAAAACGATCACAGAGAGGAGACCAGGCGAGGCCCTCGCACAGGTCATTGCGAAACGTGCGGCACCAGCACCGAACAATTGCACTTGACACGAGGATGATGAGTCACGGCACGGGGCTTATCACACGGGCACGCTGCTGGAGGGAGCAATCCACAGTCATCCCAGAGCCACGTGCCTCGCTGCCACACGCCGGGATTGGGAGGGGCAGGACACAGCAGCCACCGGGGCTTCTCCACCCTCTGGGCTGAGCGCACTCTGCATGGGAGGAGAGAAACCCAGGCAGGTTCTCACTGAGCCCCCAGAGTGTGCCAAGCCAAACCCAATGATCCATGAAGTCTACCAGCCCCCTTTTTATCCTGGGCTTAAGTGCCACAGTGCCCACCTCCAAGAACTCCAGTGCAAAATGTGTTCTGCTGATGACTCCAACTCACCCAAAGACAAACCACAGAAACTAAGCCACTGCTCTCATGGAAGGGAGCATCCCCTCCAAGTAAGAGCAGAGCTGCCTCCCATTCTCCAGTGGTCCCTCTCCTCCCTCCTCATCCCCAGCAGCTCCTGAAGGCTGAAACGGAGCATCCAAAGAGCACAGCCTGTGCTCCATGGTGCACCCATGAAGTCCTCTCTGTGAACATTCCCTGACCAGCCCTTATGAAAAAATGTGGCATAAGAACAACCCCCATCGCCTGAACAGAGCTGGAATTCTAATGAAGTCACTTGGATGATTTATAAATGGAAATTCTGCAGAAAACAATTCATTCAGCGGGCCACTAAGAAGATTTTTAGCACAGAAACAAGAAAGGGTTTCTTGTGAGAGATGAGAAGAGACAAAGGCGAGGGGGACAGGAGGAAGGGTGCAGCAAGATATCCTGCAGGTGCCCAGTTCATCCCAGTCAGAGCAGCCCCTCCAGCTCCTGCCCAGCCACCAGAGCAGCTCTGACAGAGACAAGAGTCCAACTTTGCATGGGTAGGGACTGAATGTAAATTGCTGCCTTGGTTAATACGTAAATTGCCGACTGTTCCCTTCCATTCCATCAGCTCCAGCAGAGACAATCATGAATACAGGCCTCCTGCCCTTTGGGATGATTAACATTCCCTTTCCTCAGTGTCCCCAGCACTGCTGACCCACATTCAGCTCCTGAAATGCAGTTCTATGTAAACTGCAACGTTTGGTGTCAGCAGAATGTGCCAGCCCAGCAGGGCCGGGCACACACAGCTCACGCTCTCCTCCTCTCCCTAAATAAACGCAGTGCTCAACTTCCAAAGGGCCAGGAAAATCCCAGTCCTTTAATATCAGACCAGGCACCGAACTACTCCCTTGCTTCTCTTTTAAGGGACAAGGGGACACAAGCCAGGAATGCTCAGGCTGTTATCTCCAACTGTCATGTCAAAGTCCACTTGACCTGGTAAATGTCCATCGGAAAGGAAAACAGACTCCAACACCTCATCAATAGACCACCTATCATTCCAGGCTCAGCAAAGCACACCAGCCTACGCCGTCATTAATTTCACCTCCTGGAAGAGGCCCAAAAACACAGGGTACAATCTATTTCCAAGCTCACGCAGACATTCACAGTGGAATTCCTTCTGAGACACCGGACGAGCGCGGTTCCCAAGGAGGGGCCGTGACGAGCAAACCAGCTTTTCTCTAAGAGAATGTGACACGGGGTCAAGTTTGTGCAGGGATTTGGTGGCTATATTTGAACTGCCTGGTTCTCCTGTGCAGCCACTACTGGGAGAGAGGGATCACCCCAGGAAGGGGCTGCCAGCACACACAGCAACGGGGCTATGCTTGTGTTCCGTGATCAAAGAATTCTTTCAGATCCCTAAATGGGACCGTTTTGCCAAGGTTTTGCTTGCTTCCAAGTTGTTTCCATTAAGTCAAAGTGTTAAAAGTGTAACTGTGATGAAGACAAGCTCGCAGTAGCATTATTTTGCATTCCTGCTGCCAGTCAAAAACGCCTTCCCATACGGATTCGTCCTTTCCAACATATTTCCGACACCTCCCCTCTAACCTCCTGAATCCCAGAGCCTGAACCAAGCAGCTCCTCTCTCCTTTCCTACGCCTTTCCCAGAGCCAACAGCAATAGTCCTGTCAATGAAGGAAAAGTACTGAACCCACAGTGCTCTGGGTTTGCAGGCAGAATCCAATCCACTCCCTCGCACTCCTTTCCAGAGGCTGGGATTTGAAAGGAAACCTGACCTCGGAGTTGAGAAAGCTTCCAGGTCAAGTTTCAGCTCCAAGCTATCCCAGCTCAGCGGAACAGATGGCAGTTGTTCCAGCACAGGTATTTCCCCGGGCTCAGGGAGCCCTGGGAGCTCGGAGGGACAGGGACAGGATCTCCTCGGTGCAGGGGAACGTGTCACACCCAAACCCGCCGCACACTCCAGAGCCCACCAGCACCTCACCGGACCACCAGAAAGGAGCTGTGCTGCTTCCCAAGGCCCACAACCCACCCTCGGTCACCCCAGGGCAGCAGGAATGGGAGTACACTGCTGTTAAGCAAAGCACGAGTTTTCCAAGCTCAGCATCCTCTTCCATCACCCACAAACAACCTGCAAAATCCAGCCTTGGCCCTGCCAATGCGGGACATGATTCCCAGACCAAATTTTAGTGCATTCTTCAGATAAAATCAACTGTTCCCATGCAAACGATGGTCTCTGCTTTGGTATTTTGCAAACTTCAGAGTCAGCACCATTGAAAAGAAACCTTGACCCAATGAGAGAGGCTGGAAACAGGAACAGGAAAACAACTTGGAGTTGGATCACTGCTTTTTCAGGAGTGATGTCCACTCAGGGTGATCAGTCTGTACTCCAAGCACCTGAACCCATCACTCTGTTTCTATCAGCGAGGTTCAGGTTTATCAGGGGGAGAACAACAGCACCGAACAGCTGAAGTGCAGATTAAATCGTGGCATCGAGCACTTGGAGGCACAGGAACAGCCATCAGGGCAGGCAAATACAGCCCAGCCCTGCAAAGAACTGTCCAGGAGGTGCAATAGCCGAATTTTCACCAGCCCCTGCAGTGAATCTCACTTTGTTCCCCGGGCGCAGAGCCGGAGCTCCATCAAACCCGCGCCGTGGTCACTTTCCCCTCGTGTTTCCACACAGTGTCACCGGGGAAATGACAAGGGACACCCCCGGCGGGCCCCCGGGAGCCACCCCGGGAGCGCAGAGCGGGGCTGCGCCCACGGCCTGCCCGCTGCCTTCCCCCCATCCTGCCGCAGCTCCCGGGCAGGATCCCGGGGCTGGCACTGGCGCACGCAGGAAGGCGAGCCCGCTCGGGGAGCTCGGTGTCACGGGCGGGATCACGAGCGCGGCGCCGGGGCCGGGGCCGGGGCTCTCCCGCCGCGTCCCGGGGCTCGCCCGCGCCCGGACCCACCCGGAGCTCCCGCCGCGCTCCGCGTTCACCTGGCGGCGCGGCCGCACCTGGATCCACCTGGATCCGCCGCTCCCTCGGGAGGCCCTTCCTGCGCTTTCTCACGGCCCTGGGAACACTCGGCCACGGTCGTTTTCTCCCCGCTCCGGTAGGAAACGAGCTGCCCCCCACCCCGCCTCCGCGTCCCCCCCGGCTGCAGGGGCGCATCCCGGGTACCGCGGGCGCATCCCCCCCGCTCCACCTCCACGCTACCCCGGCGCCGCGGGGACCCGCGGGGACACCCCGCTGACAGCGGCCCCGGGCCCGCCGGGCCAGGGGGGAGCTCGGGGCCGCCCCCCCCGCCGCCCCCCGCACCCGCGCGGGGGGTGCGCGCCGGGCTCACCTTGGCGCGGGTCACCAGGTGCGTGGCGAGCTTCACCACGGCGAAGTTGCCCTTGCCGATGGTGCGCTCGATCTCGTAGTAGCCGATGCGGGCGGGCCCGGGGGGCCGCGGGGGCGGCGGGGCCGGGGAGAGCCGGGGGGCCGCGGGGGGACCCCCCGCTCCGCCGCCGCCGCCGCCTCCTCCCGCAGCCGCCGCCGCCGCCATCTTGTCGCGCGGAGCGAACCCCCCCGCGGGGCTGCGGCACCGCGTGAGCTCATCCGCGGGGGGGCGCCGGGGGGGCGCCCGCTGCCATGGCAACGGGGGCGGGGCCCGCGCGTCACGGCTGACGTCAGCTGCGCGCGGCGCCCCCCCGCGGCCGACGGCGGGAAGCGGTTTTGGGGCGAAACCCGCCGGGAACGGGAAACTCGGCGCTCGTGACGTCACTGCGCCACGGAACGCCGTCCCGGGCCTCGCCCCGGAGGGGAGAGGGACGTCGGAGAGCGGTGAAGTGACGTCACGGCCGCGGGGCGGGAGGGGCCGCGGTTTTGGGGCGAAACCCCGCGAGGAAAGGGGGAAAAGAGAGCAGGGGGGGAGACCGGCCAGTCGGGGGGGACACGTGTTCGCCGTGACACCGCTCCGACAGGGGCACCCCTCCTCTCGGCGGCGTGACGTCACTTTGGCGGCGCTGTGACGTCACGGGGCAAAACGCCGCGGGCTCGCTCCTCGTGACCTCACCGCCCGCGGGGACATGAGGGACACGGGCACACACACGGGCACACACACGGACACACACACACACACGGACACGCGGGGACTGGGGTTGTGACGTCACGGATCCGCACAATGACGTCATTGCGGGGCGGGCGGGCCTTCCCGCGGCGCGCGCGGCGGAAGCGGAAGCGGCGCGCGGGCGGCGCAGGCGCGCGGGGCCGAGCGCAGGGGCCGCGCCCGCCATGGAGTCGCGGGGGAAGGAACCGCAGCCGCAGCCGCAGCCGCCGTGAGTGCGGGGGCGCCGCGGGACGGCCCGCCGGGGAGCGGGGAGCGGGGAGCGGGGGGGAGCGGGGCCGCCCCGCTGAGCCCAGCCCGCCGCGGGGGGCGTGAGCCCGGTGGTCCCGCGGCTCCTCCTGCGGCGATTCCCGCGGGGACCGTGCGGGGTCTGCAGCGCCCCCGGTGCGGGAGCTGGGCCCGGTTAGCCCGCAGAGGGGGCTGAGGGTGGATGCCGTCACAGGCGCGTCCCGGGGGTGTTCGGAGCGGTGCCGCGCTCTGCTCGGGGACGCGGCCGCGGACCGGACCGAACCGTGAGGAACGAGCGAGCGGCTGCCCAGGGAGGGCGGGGAGCGTCCCAAGCCCACCTGGATGTGCTCCTGTGTCACCTGCTCCAGGTGGCCCTGCCTCGGACAGGGCGATCCCCAGAGGTGTCTCCCAGCTCCAGCCATTCTGTGATTCCGGGATCAATCCCGCCGCTCCCGGAGCCAGATTATCCACCTGGGCCGTGGAGCTCAGTGGCTGTAAGCTGGATCTCTGGACATTAATAGGGGCTAATCCCCAAAGTATCAGCGTTTGCTGTCGGGTTATTAAAGCTCAGGTGTGGGTCTGCAGAGCATCCTTGGAGCTGGCCTTTGTTTTCCAGTCCGTGGCTCCAGGGAGAATGCCAGATGCATGGAATAACATCGCTGTTGTTGTTGTCAGCCAGCCACCAGTGCTCACAGGAACTGTGGGTGTCAGGAAGGGCAGTGTTTTCCAGCAGCCAGGCAGCCCTTGTTCCCCAGCCATGGCACTGCTGGAAGCAGCTGGTGTGGGAACTGTTCTTTCCACAGGAACAGGATGGGCATGGGGGACTCCAACCCGGCAGCAGTGCCACATGCTGCTGAGGACATCCAGGGGGACGACAGGTGGATGTCACAGGTGAGGCTGGAGGGGCACGGGGGGCCCTGGGAGGGGGGATCCCCATCCCTGGTCACACTTGTGACCCTGAGCCCAGTTGTGTGTCCTGCCTGTGTGTGCTGTCGTGGTGGAGCAAGGGAGGAGGGGTGTGGAGCATCTCTCTGATGGGGAGAGGCTGTGGGAGCTGAGCCTGGTTACTCCTCTCTCGCAGCACAATCGGTTTGTCCTGGACTGCAAAGACAAGGAGCCCGACGTGCTCTTCGTGGGGGACTCCATGGTGCAGTTGCTACAGCAGTACGAGGTAGGGATGAAGTGGGGAGGAAAGTGGGTTAGAGCAGCTGGAGTGTGTCTCTCTCTAACCCAGGAGCTGCTGATCACGTGCAATACTGATGGTTCCCTCTGTTCCCGTTTCACTGCTGTCTCCTGAGGCGTTCCTGCCCTGCTTCCTGAACTCCCCAGTGCCTGGGCACGGCTTTACTTGGCTGCTTGACCTCCCTGAGCTGTTTGTCTCCTTCTCTGGGGCCATGGCCAACTGCCTTCATTTTGGCACACGTACAGAGCCCCCTGGCCCTCAGATTCCAGCCTCCCATCAAATCCCCTGTGGGTGTCCCTGCTGTGGCCAGAACACGTTTAACCCCGTAGCACTCGAGGTGCCTGAGGCACTGGCACACTGGCTTCTCCCTAAAACTGCTGGGGCAGAGAAGAGCAGTGGCTTTTTGGCTCTTGGGGCAAAGAAGAGCTCTGCTCCACCGTGGGTGGCAGCTGAGCAGCTTTGTTCTACAAGAGCTGCTTCCCTTTGTTCTAGTTTTGTTACCTGGGGATGAAAAGGATTTAATCAGGTCACGGATTCCTCCTTCAGAGGTCCCGTGCCTAAGTCTGCAACAGATCAGCTGGGGTCTCTGCTGAGTTGGGCAAATCACTGCTCAGGAAATCTTCCCCTTTGTGCCAGGTCTGAGAGACTGAACATCAGCAGCTCTGTAAAGTGAAGCCTCACCCTGTGTCTAAATGCCCTTTGTGGAGTGAGTTTTGAGAGAAGGGCTCCCATTAACCCTCGGTGTAGTGTGTTCCCTTCTCACTCGGGATGCTGCTCTGAAACAGCACCTTGATTTCTGCTTACAGATATGGCGAGAGCTCTTCTCACCACTCCATGCACTGAATTTTGGGATTGGTGGAGACACCACAGGACATGTTCTATGGAGACTGAAGAACGGTGAACTGGAGAACATTAAACCCAAGGTACAAGCAGAGAACCCAGCCGGGCAGCCCTGTGCTGACTGAGGGCAGACCCTCCCCGCAGCTCACCAGCCACCGGTGATGTTTATTCAGGGATTTCAGGGTCATCAGCCTGTTACAACTCGCTCTGGAAAAGCTGCAAACATTCTTTTTTTTTTTTTTCCTCCTTGTAGGTCATTGTTGTTTGGGTTGGAACAAATAATCACGAAAACACAGCAGAAGAAGTAGCAGGGGGGATCGAGGCCATCGTGCGCCTGATAAACGCCCAGCAGCCACAGGCCAAAGTCATTGTACTGGTACGTCTCCAGGAGCAGTCACTTTATCTGTCCTCTGCTTTGTGCCTCCCCTTGCTGGCTTGGCTTTGCAGGAGTTCTCCTCTGGCCCTTGCAGAGGGGGGTGGACTCATCCCATTAGCTCTGCCACTCCAAAGTGTTGCTGAGGAAGTGCTGTGAGGGGAAGATAAGTGCCCAAATCCTAGTTGGCTTCCTTATCCTAACAGCTTAGCTGCTCCCTCTCTTACTGAGAAGCTGGGCAATGGCAGGAAAAAAGCCCAAAAGAACAGAAGCTGTTATATTTAAAAATTAAAAGAAAGCAGGTGCCCTGCCAGTCATGCTTGTAGCTCATCTGCATTTCACATTAGGTCTGAACAGACAAATTCTGATTCAAGGGATGAGTTCCTCTTGTCACAGCCATCGTAAATCTTGACAGGCAGCCCGAGTTGGAAGGGAAAACAGGCCTCCTGTTGCCATCAGACTCACACAGAGCACTTTTTTTGCCTCCTTCATGTACCAGGGCCTGCTACCTCGTGGAGAGAAGCCAAACCCGCTGCGGCAGAAGAACGCCAAGGTGAACAACCTGCTCAAAGCCTCGCTCCCCAAACTGCCCAACGTCCAGCTGCTGGACGTGGACGTGGGCTTCGTGCACTCGGATGGCACCATCTCCTACCACGACATGTTCGATTTCCTGCACCTGACGGGCGGGGGGTACGCCAAGGTCTGCAAGCCCCTCCACGAACTGATCATGCAGCTGCTGGAGGAGACCCCCGAGGAGAAACGAGCTGCCCTGGCCTGAGCCGCCCGTGTCAGCGCCGAGAGCATCATCCAGCCCATCAGATCAGTTCTGTCACTGGCACTACAGAATCCTTCTTTCTTAAAGCACTTTCCATTATAGAATGTTACCGGATGTCCGTACCTAGTGTTTTGAGGGGGAAGGCTCATGTTTAACTGGTCTTGTACGTACGAGGGCCGGCTTGGTTGGTTTTATTGCAGGAGGAAATTAGCTGAAGAAGAGTTTTACTTTTAAACCATTCCTCATTTAAAACGAGAACAGGACTGTCACTCTGTGCCCCTCTCATGTCTTGTTGCTCTGTGGTTGTCCTAGAACCCCTTGTAGCCTGTCCGACACTGCTCCTGGCTCACCATTCCTGGCTGCAGCCATCGTGCTCTGTGTATTTGCCTGGGAACAAGAATCACATTCCACTTGCAAAAGCCAGAACAGATGCATTTTTCCAAACTCGGTCCCACCTTTTAGAGGTTTGGGGTTTTTTGGGGGGTTTGTGGTTTTTTTTGTTTGTTTGTTTGTTTATTGTTTGTTTTTTTTTTACTGGGGGGTTTAAATGAAACGTGTTGCTTTCTCACTCCTTTCTGAAGCAGCATGAAACTGGAATTCAGAAATTTAAAGAAGCAAACGGTTACCTGAGCTCGTGCAACGCTCCCAGGTGCTTGTCTCGTGCTTGTCTGCCCATGCCTGCTAGCCAGGGCACCTTCCCTCCCACGCAGCTCTCCCGGGGGCACCTTCCTTGCCTCCCACGCAGCTGTCCCGGGAGCATTCCCATTCGGGTGCTGCTGCTCTCCCCTGCTCCTGCTGCCCGTGGTGTCGCTGGCTTTTAGCAGTTGCTCAGTGTAGGATTTTAATGATCCATTAATCTGGCAGTCACTTCCTTGCTCCCTGGAACTGACAGACATGCCTCTGAGGTCCCTGCACCACAGGGCTCTTTGCAGTGCTGTTCCTTGTTCCTTTTTTCTTCTGTTTTTTATCAAGTATGAGTGAGCGTTACATCCTTTTTTTTTCTAAAGCAAACCCACATGAACAGCCCCTGGCTGCAAGGCCCAAATCACTCTGAAGCTTTACAGATCCCAAGGTGTATATTTCTTTGTTGCTACTGGTTTACTTGTATAAACATTTTATTTGAGCAACTACAGCCTCTTACAGTATAAAGTGAAGTTAAGGCATAGCTTTTCCTGCCCTGGACACTGCTCCTAACCTCTAGCAAGTGAGCTGGAGGGGCAGGTGCCCTCCTAAGGGGCTGTGGCTCAGTGGGATTTCAGTTTGGTTTGCAGTTAGGAGGGCTGGTTTTAGTGAGACAGCCTTTCATTTAAAACTGAGAGGTTCTCTTTCAGAAAGAAACAGTTTGGACCCAAGAAGCAGGGCCCTGGATGGGTTGATGACTTGAAAATTGATAACTATTTTAAACCGAGTCTCTTCCTCCCTGGCTTACCTGCCGGAGCTGGAGCTCAGTGGTGCCACACTGGCCTCGCTGGGTTTGTGCTTCCCGTGGGACCCACGTGCAGGTAAATCTGGGAGGAACAGAGAGCTTCACTCCGTGTGCCGAGGGACGTGCTCAGGTGTCAGGTCCTTGCTGAAGCCCATAGGTACTGTACATAGTCTGTCTGCCCTTTGCTGTAGCCAAGGGGCTGGTGTGTAACTCTGACCTAGCATTGAGGAATCCCGTAACGCCCCACCTCATCCCCCTCCTCCTGTAGATTTGATCATAGCAGGATTCCTGCCTGGATTGCATGCATAGTGTGTGTTTTGTTTCCAGTATATGTGATCTACACACAGATGAAGGAAAGGTGAAGTGTTCCCCTTGCCAGGATCAGATGCAGGGAGTTGCGGAGTGCCATGGGAGAGGAGGGATCGTGATCCAGATCAGGAATGCTGCTCCCTGAGGCTGGCTTTGCACTCCTGGCCTTGCAGGGCAGGCTGTGAGGGAACGCTGCTCACGCTTCCCATAAGGTGCTGGCTGGAGAAACTGGGGAAGGGCAAGTGTAAAATCAAATGCTAAAAGTAGGCTGCAGTGGAGAGTTCTTGGGAAAGGGCTTATCCCACCCCCAGCCCCCTCAGGGAGCCAGGATAAACCCCATTCTACTCCCTGAGAGCTTTCCATCTCTCCAGGCTTGTGAGAAAAGGCAAGTGTGTGCTAGTTAATCTGTGCATCCCTGCTTTCCTTCCCGCTGCTGCTGCTGCTGCATTTGGCTGAAGAGATGCTAACCAGGAATGTACTCCAGTAAAGCTCCGACTTCTCCGCTCGGCACCCTCTGCCCGCTGTGAGTCAGCCCCTCTGGCAGGGTGCCGAGTGGACCGGGAGGTTTGGCAGCATCCGGAGGCCCTGGAGTGTCACCAGGGAGGCTCTGCTGGCTCTGCTTTGGCTTGGCTTGCTGAGGTGCCACGCTCTGTGCTGGTTCAGTGCTCACGGCTCGGCTCCATCCCTGGTGCTGGAGAGGGAGGATGGCGTCTTCTCCACTCAAACTTGGCTCTGCCTGGCAGGAAACTGCCCTGCTCACTTGAGAGGTGTTGTGAGCAAGAGGGTTCTGCCTCCTCGCTCACCTAGTGCTGAAAACCGAGTGCCTCGTGTGGGAAAGCTTCAATTTCAGCTCTGGATGTCCCTCGGGACAGGCCTGGGCTGGATCTAAGGGCTCCTCTAAGTGAGCATTCCCAGTTTGGTGTTTATTGCAGCAGAGAGGAAAACAAACTAACAGAAGGTGTGAAATGTCAGTCTTGTGAGGTGCGGGGCGGGAGGACGAGGCAGGACGGGAGCCGTGAGGAGGAAGGCCTGTCCCTCCCCTCGCTGCCCGCCCGCCGCCCTGAGCCTTCCCCGGGACACAACCATTGTGATTCTGCTTTGGCAAAAATGCATCGGCTGGTAGAACTCACTGTTAGTGCATATTTCGATATAAATGTCAATGTTTCACCCACCGTGTCGCCGCCTGTGTGTGTGTGTGTGTGTGTACGTGCTGAGGCATCTCCTGCCTCTGTCTCGGTCACTCCTGGTTGGTCTCCGCGGGGCTGAGGAAGTGCTGCCAAACCTCCCTGGCTCTGGGAGTTGTGCTCAGCCAGATCCTCGCTCCTGATTTAGTTCCTGCTTTTCCCCACTCCGTTTGGGGCTTTTTCTTGTCTGTTTTTCCTCCTTTCTCCGTGCAGAGCTGAGGTCCTGCTCCAAACCTGTGAGTGCGGTGCTGCAGGTAAAGGGAACCGGTATTTCGGCCCTCCACAGGACATAGGCTTGTGCTCAGCTGCCGAGTGGTTTATCTCTAATAGCCCTGGAGTGAACAGGGAAGGCACATCCCCACGCAATCCCCCTCACGGCCATCCCGTGGAGGCGACTCGAGTTCGATCCGAGTCGGTTGGAGTTCTGCTTCTAGTCCCGCATGGGCGTCCATCTGTCCCTGAGGTCATTCCATCTGCCACCAGCGTCACCACCTGTACCTGGAAACGACATGCAGACTGTCCAAACCAGGGGATCCTCAGGGAGAGGAGGCCCAGAGAAATAAAGTGCACAATAGCAGCAGCACTTGTCTCGTGCCGTTTATCCCATGGAGCCGGAGGCAGAGGTCCTGGATGTCTGAGCGAACTCAGAAAGTGGCTTTGGGACAGGTGATGTGGGGCTGAGCCGCTTCAGAGGGGGATTTTAAACCAAAAAAACCAACTGCAGACAGAAAATGTGATATAAAGGCCCCAGAGCCCTTGGAGAGAGGCCTGGAGCTGGCTCAGCAGCAGCTGGGACTGGGGTGCTTTCAGAGATGCACACTAAACGCAGCGTGGCATCATTCCTGCTTCCCTGATGAACACAGCCGTGGGAGAACTTCCAAATCACTTCAGCCTCGGGTGATGAGGGGTGCTGCAAACTGGGGGGAGGCTGCCGGAGCCCCTGCGGGAATCCAGAGAGCAGCAGGAGAAAGGGATGGGGCAGAGCCATCCATTGCCTGGCAGGGGATTATTCCGTGTCCCCACGGACTCTGGGGACAGGCAGGCTGGGCGAGGGGCTTGGTGGGTGTCTGGAGCATGGGCACGGCCCTGGGACTTCCCTGCAGGGAGGAGGACAGGGACTCCAGTAGGGTTTCCTCTGAAGCAGGGGCTCCTCTATGGGGCCAGGCTTCCCCTCTGGGGTCCTATATATGAGCAGGGCTCCACAACAGAGTGGGGCTTCCCCTGTGGGGTCCCATATGGAGCAGGGGCTCCTTTATGGAACCGGGCTTCCCCTGTGGAGTCCTATACAGGATGCGGGTCCCCTGTAAACCCTATGGCGTCCTATATAGGACAGAACTCCCCTACGACGTCCTGTATAGGGTGGGGGCTCCCCTATAGGACACGACTTCCCCTGCGGGGTCCCATATGGGACCGGGCTTCCCGTGGGGGATTCCATAGGGAGCAGGGGCTGCCCTACATCCCCGGGCTTCCCCCGCGGGTCCCTTGGAGGGGGGTTCCCCTCCGGGCCGGTCCCCCCCGGCCCCGCCCGCCGCGTCACTTCCCCGACCGGGCGCTGTAACCCGCGACGGGAGTGACGTCACCGCCGGTCCGTGTTTACCGCGGCTGCGGAACGGGAAGGGACAGAGGGACAGCGCCGGCATCGGGACCCGGCACCGGGTACCGGCACCGGGCACCGGCCCCGCGCTCTGCCCGCAGCGCCAGCGCGGCCCCGCTCCGGCCCCGGCCATGGGGCAGCGCGCCCGGGCGCGCCCCGGCTGAGCGCCCCGTCCCGTCCCGTCCTGTGCCGTGCCGTGCCGTGCCGTCCCGCCCCGCGGACCTTGGCCGGGGATGCTGGCGGGATGCCGGGCTCCGGAGCGGCCGCGCTGGCCCGGGCGCTGCTGGCCGGGGCGCTGCTGCTGCTGCCCCCGCCGCCCGTCCTGCCCCAGCCCCAGTGGCGGAACGTGAGCGAGACGGAAGCCCAGTTCAACACCACCTACACCGACCGGGTGGACGCCAACCTGCTCCACATCTACGCCTTCAACCACAGCGTGCGCAGGAACATGGTGAGCCGGGTGGTCGCCACCGCCGCGTCCCCCGCGGGCTGGGTGTCCCCTGGGGTCCCTTGCCCCGGGGGTGTTGGGCGTGCGGGGCACGGCAGCCTCTTGCCACGGCGGCCGAGCAAAGTCCAGACCTGGCCCGACCTGCCCGGCCAACGCCTCGCCTTCCCCTGTCCCCGCAGACCGAGGGCGTGCGGGTGTCGGTGAACGTCCTCTCCGACCACAAGGACCTGCCCGTGCTCTTCGTGGTGAGGCAGAAGGAGGCGGTGGTCTCCTTCCAGGTGCCGCTCATCCTCCGGGGTCTGTGAGTACCAGCGGGATCCCCACGCTGGGATCCCCGGGCTGGGATCCCCCCACAGGGTTTCCCCCTGCGTTGGGGTCACACAGCCGCTCCTGCCCCAGGTACCAGCAGGAAGTACGCGTACCAGGAGGTGAGCCGCACGCTCTGCCAGCCGCAGACCAAGGCCGAGGTGGAGACCCAGCACTTCTACGTGGATGTCTCCACGCTCTCCCTCAACGCCTCCTACCAGCTGCGGGTCACCCGCGTGGAGAACTTCGTGCTGCAGTGAGGGGACCCCCGTGCCACAGGCCCGCTCCCTGCCTGCTGCCCGTGGGGGCTGTGGGGGCTACAGGCTCCCCTTGCCACCCATCAACTCTCTGTGCTCTCTCTGCAGGACAAATGAAAGGTTCAGCTTCAACGCCACGGCCTCCCAGCCGCAGGTGAGGGGAGCTGGCACAGCGTGGCACGGGAGGGGGGCTGTGCCACGTGGCTGCCATGGCAGCAGTGGGCCATTTTCCCCTGCAGTACTTCAAGTATGAGTTCCCTGAGGAAGTGGACTCGGTGATCGTGAAGGTGACCTCAGCCATGGCCTTCCCCTGCTCCGTCATCTCCATCCAGGACATCCTGGTAGGTTTGGGCAGTGGGGTCTCTGGGTGATCCATCAACCCAGCAGGGCTGACGGGCTCTCTGCCCCCCCAGTGCCCCGTCTACGACCTGGACAACAACGTGGCCTTCATTGGGATGTACCAGACCATGACGAAGAAGGCGGCCATCACGGTGCAGGTGGGCACGGGCCTGTGCCGTGGGGCTGAGCCACTCCCAGCCCCTGCCCGGTGCTGCCGGGTACCTCCAGCTATCAGAGCTCGCAGAGGGTATCCCTGGGATAACCTCTGGCATGGGAGACCCCCAGCTGGGCTCTGCTGACCCCCATCTCTCCCCCCCTGGAATGGCTGCTGCAGAAGAAGGATTTCCCCAGCCACAGCTTCTACGTGGTGGTGGTGGTGAAGACAGAGGATGAGGCATGTGGGGGGGCTCTGCACTACTACCCCCTCTCCAAAAATGCCTCTCCAGGTACACAGGGGGCTGGGGGAGGCACCACCCTGCTGCTGTGGGCTGTGTGTGGGGACACACTGGGGACAGGGCAGAGGCTGAACTCCAGCTGTGCCCTCTCCCAGATGAACCTGTGGATCAACAAAACCGGCAGAAGACGCTGGAGGTGGTGGTGTCACCTGCCATAACCTGTGAGTCTGGGAGGGGCTGGGTGTGCTGGGGCTGGTGGGCTCTGCAGGGACCTGCAGCAGGTCCCCAGAGGTGCCACCCCCGCTGAGGGCTTGTCCTGGCTCTGCGCAGCGGAGGCCTACGTGAGCAGTGTGCTCTTCTGCCTCAGCATCTTCCTCTCCTTCTACATCCTCACGCTGCTCATCGCCTGCTGGGAGAGCTGCCGGTGAGTCCCTGGGCGTTGCTGCCCCTCGGTGTGCTGGGCCACGGGCACCATCCTGTCCCTGATGTGGTGGGGGCCCTCAGGCTGTGCCCCCTTGCCACAACCAGACTGATGGCTGCTTCCCTCGGCAGGCAGCACAAGAGGAAGGGGCTCCTGTCAGCCATGGACTCACCCAACCTGGACACAGGTGAGGGATGGAGGCAGCCAGTGGCATGGAGGGACCTGCCTGCGGGGTTCCCACTTATTCTATCCTCTTGAGCCCTGCTTCTGCAGGAGTTCCCACTATCCCCTTGAGCCCTGCTTGCCCCTCACCTCCCTGGGGACCAATCCCAGTGCCAGGGGTTCAGGGAGGTCCCAGAGTTCTCCACTGTGGGGCTGGCAGGGCTGCTGCTGGGGCTTTGCATCTCACCAGCTCTGTCTTTCTCTTCCCACGGCTTTCCGGGGACTCCCAGCATCACTCCTGGGTAGGTGCCAGCTCTGTCCTTGGCTCTGAGCTCGCTCTGTGCCAGGGCAGGGGTGTGGGGCAGTGCTCTGAGCCCAAGGGCCGTGCAGCCCCGGGACAGGGGTGCCACCAGGGCTGACAGGGACCATCCTGTCCCGCAGGTCACTCCCGCAGCATCCCCGACTCCTTCCTGGGCCGTGGTTATGACAGCTACGGTTACGGCTCCTTCGGTGAGTGCTTGTGCTGTGCCCCCCGTCCTTCACCCCCCTGCCCACGGGCCGTGCCCACCCTCTGCCTGTCCTTGCAGGGAACGGCTCCTCCAGCAGCACTGAGGGCGTCACGGACAGCCTGGGCTCCACAGAAGTCTCCTACAGTTACGTGGGTGAGTCGTGGGGCGACTGGTGTGGCCTCAGCCCTGCAGAGCCACATGCCCAGTGGCATCCTGGCTCTGCCCGTCTCTGGGAAGGGTCCCGGGGCTGGCAGCCCCTCCGTGCAGCCCACAGCGGGGTCTCCATTGGCGGACACGTGCAGGGGAGCCCCGCTCCCGTAACTGTGGCTTTCCTTTGAAGGGCAGGAGCAGTTCAAGCGGCGCACGCCCTCCGCCCCGACGAGGCCGCTGAGCATTCCCATGGGTAGATGCTGGTACCGGGCAGGGTTGGGCCAATCAAGGCGAAATCTGCCCAGCCCCAAGCTCGTGCCCGGGGCACAGAGCACCCCAGCTCCCCTCCCTCAGAGCAAGGGCAGCGCCAGGGGGCTGCGGGGCAGGACGTTGTTTGCTGTCCCCCGGCTGTCCCCAGTGTGGCAGAGCCCCGGGGGACGGGCATGGGTGACGTTCACCCACATGGCACAGCCACCACGTGTCCCCCGGGCAGGGACAGCGCAGGGTCCGGGGGAGTGGAGCCTGTCCCCGGTGAGAGTTGTCAGGGAGGCAGCCGAGTGGTTAATTGGGTGTGATTGGGGTCCCACAGGGTGGGTGCCAGGGTGGGCTGGGCCGGGGGCTGCTCTGAGGCCCTGGCTCGGCTGCAGGGGAGCGGTCCCTGGAGAACGTGGCCTGCCGGCCCCGCCTGGACTCGCTCAGCTCCATCGAGGAGGACGACTACGACACCCTGGCTGACATTGACTATGACAAGAACGTCATCCGCACCAAGGTGTGTCCCATCCCCGCCCCCAGTCCCCGTCAGCCACTGCCCCACTGCCCCGACGACCCCTCACCAACCTCTCCTTCCAGAAATACCTGTGTGTGGCTGACCTGGCGCGCAAGGACAAGCGGGTGCTGCGGAAGAAGTACCAGATCTACTTCTGGTGAGTGGGGAGCAGTGGGGCTGGGGGCACTGAGCAGTGTCCCAACCCAGGGCAGGCAGCAGGGACCCCCTGACACCCCCCTGCCTCTCCCAGGAACATCGCCACCATCGCTGTCTTCTACGCCCTGCCCGTCATCCAGCTCGTCATCACCTACCAGACGGTGAGTGGGGCAGGTTGGCAGCAACTGGGGCTCCCGGGAGCTCTGGGGGCTGCAGTCCCAAACCGTGCTCCCCAGCACAATGGGGACATCCCTGGGGGTCCCCCCTGACCCTCACCCTGCCGGTGAACGCAGGTGGTGAACGTCACCGGCAACCAGGACATCTGCTACTACAACTTCCTGTGTGCCCACCCTCTGGGGAACCTCAGGTGGGTTCAGGAGGGGTGGTGGGGGCTAGCTGGGGGTCCCCTGTGCCCGGGGCTGGGCTGTGGCAGGGCCCCAAGGACAAGGAGGGGTCCACAGTACTCAGGTGTGGACTGGCCCCTCGCAGCGCCTTCAACAACATCCTCAGCAACCTGGGCTACGTCCTGCTGGGTTTGCTCTTCCTGCTCATCATCCTGCAGCGCGAGATCAACTACAACCGGGCGCTCCTGCGCAACGACGCCCATGCCGTGGTAAGAGACTGGGGGCTGCTGGGGCGCCCCGGGGAGGGGGCTCAGCCCCCCAGGAACCCCCCTCTTCCCCTGCCCTCCGCCCCACAGGAGTGCGGCATCCCCAAGCACTTCGGGCTCTTCTACGCCATGGGCACGGCGCTCATGATGGAGGGGCTGCTCAGCGCCTGCTACCACGTCTGCCCCAACTACACCAACTTCCAGTTCGGTGAGTGCCCCCCCAGCCCCCACTGCCCACGCCGGGGCCGCCCCCACACCCCTCTCACCGCTGTGCCCCCCCAGACACCTCGTTCATGTACATGATCGCGGGGCTCTGCATGCTGAAGCTCTACCAGAAGCGCCACCCAGACATCAACGCCAGCGCCTACAGCGCCTACGCCTGCCTGGCCCTCGTCATCTTCTTCTCCGTGGTCGGCGTGGTGAGCAGGGCGGGCGCTGTGGTGGGGGGACACTCACACATGTGGGTCACCCCCACAGCTCACTGCCCGCCCCCCCGCTCTCCCTGCAGGTCTTTGGGAAGGGGAACACGGCCTTCTGGATCGTCTTCTCTGTCATCCACATCTTGGCCACGCTGCTGCTGAGCACCCAGCTCTACTACATGGGGCGCTGGAAGCTGGGTGAGGGCAGGCACCGTGAGCAGGGTGGGCGGGGGGCAGCGCAGTGGCCCCCCCAGTGTCACCTCCCCTCTCCCCACAGACTCGGGCATCCTGCGCAGGATCCTGCACGTGCTGTACACGGACTGCGTCCGGCAGTGCAGCGGGCCCATGTACGTGGTGAGTGCTGGCACCGGGGCCCCTCTGGCTCTGCAGAGACCCCTCCTGGCAGCCCCTGCCCCAGAGTGGCTGCCCACTGCCCCTCACAGCCCCCCTGCCCTTTGCAGGACCGAATGGTGCTCCTGGTCATGGGGAACATCATCAACTGGTCACTGTAAGTGCGGAGCCAGACCCCACCCTGCTTCTTCCCGTCCCTGCCGCTGCCCCCACCCTGCTCCTGCCGTCCATCCACTGGGGCTGGGCTGAGGACAGCCAGCTCGTGGCAGCTGTGAGCCCAGCATGACAGGTCCCCCTGCAGCTGTGGCACCCGGTGTCCCCACGTGCCGCCTGACCTCCTGGGGGTTGCTGGCATGCTTGGGGACAGCGGGCACACGGGCACCACAGGGGGCCCCAGGCTGTGCTGACCCTGCTGCCTGTCCCTGCCTCCCCAGCGCTGCCTACGGCCTCATCGTCCGCCCCAATGACTTCGCTTCCTACCTGCTGGCCATCGGCATCTGCAACCTCCTCCTCTACTTCGCCTTCTACATCATCATGAAGGTGGGAGCTGAGCCCCTGGCCCCATGGGCCTGTCAGGGAGGGCAGGGCAGGGCAGGGCACTGCTGCCAGCTCCTGCCTGCACAGTGACACCGGGCTCTCCCACAGCTCCGCAGCGGCGAGCGCATCAAACTCATCCCCCTGCTCTGCATCATCAGCACCTCCGTGGTCTGGGGCTTTGCCCTCTTTTTCTTCTTCCAGGGGCTCAGCACCTGGCAGGTGAGTGGGAGGGTGGCCCAGGCAGTGGGTTGGGCAGGGTGGCCACAGGTGGGCACAGTGACACTGGCCCTGTCCCCAACAGAAAACGCCAGCAGAATCTCGGGAGCACAACCGTGACTGCATCCTGCTCGACTTCTTTGATGACCACGACATCTGGCACTTTCTCTCCTCCATCGCCATGTTCGGCTCCTTCTTGGTAGGTGCTGGTTCCTCCAGCACAGCAGACCCTGCCCCTGCCCCCCAGCTCACCATGACCCACTCTCCTCGCTCCCCTTGCTCCACAGGTGCTGCTGACACTGGACGATGACCTGGACTGCGTCCAGCGGGACAAGATCTATGTCTTCTAGGAGCCCGCAGCCTCACGCTGCCCTGGGACTGTGCCAAACGCCCGGCTGCAGCCCTGGGAGGGGCGACCCACCCCCGGGGAGGGATGTCCGTGCTGCAGGTCCTGCCAGCCACTCCGTCCCCCTCCCCACTCAGCCTGGGGGTCCTGGTGCACCTCCTCCCTGTCAGCCGGGTCCCTCCAGGCACTATGTGCCCATCCCTGGACCTGTCGTGGCCAAAAACAGGGCTGGGGGGCCACTGGGGCACCGTCCTCGGTGGCAAGTGACACTGGAAAAGGTGCTGCTGCTCCGTGTCCCTGTGCCCGTGGGCGCGGTGAGGGGATTGTGGCGAGCGCCGTGCCAGCAGCCCCGTGGCCCCCCGAGCTCGCGGGTGTGGGTCTCTCTTCAGTGCCTGAGTCGTATGGGTGGGAGGTGGGGGTGTGTGGGGCCAGACAGGCCCCACTCGTGTCTCCTGCAGTGTCCCGGGTTGGGGGTGGCCGCGGCAGGGCCCTGTTGCCGCTCCCACCGAGGTGCCGCGCGCTGTCCACGCGTGGATCTGCTGGGAAGGGACTTGCATTAAAGTGTCTGCACTTTGCCTGTGCCTGCTGCCTCCTGCCTGGGCAGCAGGAGCCCGGGGGGGTCTCAGGGGGCAGCTGCCACGATGTCAGCCAGGCACTGCTGGGCACTCCTTCCCACGGGATTTTGGGAGAGTGGAGATGCTGCAGCCCTGCTGCTGCTCTGGAGAACCTCTGTAGGCGGTCTGTGGGGCACAGGGTGGGGGCTGGCAGTCCCAGGGTAGGAGGGGTGCCCGGGGGGGTTCCATTTCACAGGCCGCAAAGCTCCTGGGGGCCCCCGTGGCATCCCAGCGCGGTGCCAGGGCTGCTGTGTGCCCCGCCGTGCCCTGACCCGCTCCAGCTGGTGCCCGCGGGGCAGAGGGAATCCCGGGATGCTGCGGGATGCCCAGGCGCGGTGCCCGCGGGATGTCCCGGCCGGGCTCCGTGGGCGGTGGGTCACCACGGGGACCCCTCTGGGCCGCCCCGGCTCCCGGCGGTGAGCGCATGGGGAAACCAGCCATGAAGTCAGGGCGGGAGCCCTCGGCGCTGCCGCCTGGCTATAAAAGGATTTACTCCATCAGCCCCCGGCCCGGTTCCGCCCCGGCCCCGGCCCTGCTGGGGCGGAGGCACGCGGGGAATGCTCGGGCACGGGCTTTCGTCGCTGGTTTTCGGAGTCTTTCCCCAAATATGGTGCCTGGGATGGAGTCATGGAGCGCTGCGGGGCCGGGCGCCCCGGGAGGGAGGGCCGGGGGGGGCCGGGCCCCGCGCCCCGCTGACATCACCGTCCCGCCGCCCGCCTTTTAGCGCAAGGTCGGGGTCCCCGCAGGGCAGAGCGCTGGTCCCGCGCCGAGCATCGCCCTCGCTCCGTCTGCAGCCGCTTGTGAGTCCTGCCGCGGGGGAAAGGCGGGGGGGGGGGCGGCAGGGAGGGTCCCCGGGGTGCGGATGTCAGCCCCCGGCATGGGGGTGCTGCCCCCCCGGATTGGGGATCCTGTACCTGGGATTTCGAAGCCGCTCCCGGGACCGCGATCTGCTCCCTAAATGATGGGGATTCTATTCCTGCGGGTGGGATGCAGCTCCCCGGGATGGGGATGCTGCTCCCCGGATTGCACCGCTGCTCCCCGGAGGAGGGTCGGGCTGCCCTGCTCGGGCTGGGGTGGCTGCCGGGGCTCTGTCCTGCTCCTGCCCCTCAGGACCGCGTTCCCATCGGGGCTCTTTGCTACGGGTCCACCGGGCTCGGCCCCGCGAGGTCCGGAGGGGCCGTGCGGGGCTCAGGGCAGAGAGGAAGGGGCGAGTCCACCCCACACGTGTCCATTTCTGCCCCGTGTCTCGCAGGGTGCTGGCGGGGCCGGGGGTAGCTGCTGGGCACTGCCCACGGCCGGAGGAGCCGTGGGTCTGTGTGTGACCCCTCTGTGCCAGCCCGGGCCAGGGCACAGCGCGGCTGTGGCATCGCTGGACGTGCCCAGCGGTGTTGGGGTCTGGGCACAGGCTGCCCGGGGGGCTCGTGGGGTACCCCTGCACGGCTGGCAGCAAGCCGGGGCAATGAGCTGTGCCAGGTCTCAGCCCGTCCCGCAGGAGCTGCAGTGCCTGTGGCCAGCGGTCAGGATGAGCCCACAGCAGGCAGGGCGTGGGTGTGGGACCGAGCACACAACTCCCGGAGGGCGCAGCCCTGGGGCTCAGGGGCTTCATGCCAAGCAAGGACCTGTGCAGGGAGGAGCGAGGCCAGCTCCACCGAGGGCTTGGCTGCCGCTCACGGTGCCTCTCCCTCCTGGAATCCTCCCTGGCATCCTCCTTGGCATCTTCCCTGGCACCTCGGGCCCTGCCCGCAGCCAGCTACCTGCCATCACTGCCACAGCATGTCCTTACAAGGGCACGGGCACGGCTCCCACCGCTCCTGCCTCGCCCACGCTCCTCCCTGGCACCCGGACCCGCCACACCAAGGCTGCCCCATGGGCACCCTGCCCTGCCATGGTGTGGCCACCACGCTGTGACACAGCCACCCAGCCCTGTCATGGTCACCCTGCCACCTGGATCCTGGCACAGCCACTCCAGGGATGTTTGTGCCAACCAAGGGCTGGCGAGGGACGGGGATGAGGCTGCTCCCGTGCATAGCCTGAGCCAGGGAGTGAGGACAAGGCACCTCTGCCAGGACAGGAACCATCCGTCTGGGCAGGTTTTGAGGGTCATGGCTGTGAACTGACCTCCAAACACTCCTGGATGGAGCAAGGGAAGAGCCAAGAGAAGGCCATGTCCTTACTGCACCAGGGTGGGCAGTGGATGCCACAGGGATGCCGCAGAGTCCCTGGGTAGGGGGACGGCATCTCCGCAGCCTGACGGTCTCTGTGGTGCCACCAGGTCTCCCACCACTGCAGCCATGGCAAACAAAGGCCCAGCCTATGGCATGAGCAGGGACGTGCAGTCCAAGATCGAGAAGAAGTATGACGATGAGCTGGAGGACCGGCTGGTGGAGTGGATCGTGGCACAGTGCGGGTCCACCGTGGGTCGCCCCGAGCGGGGCCGCCTGGGCTTCCAGGTCTGGCTGAAGAACGGCATCGTAAGTGGGGTCCCGGGTGGGGTGGCTGGCGGGGGCTCCGCGGTGTTGCAGCAAGCCCAGGCTCTCCTCCGTGGCAGGTGCTCAGCAGGCTGGTGAACAGCCTCTACCCCGACGGCTCCAAGCCCGTCAAGATCCCCGACGCGCCGCCCACCATGGTCTTCAAGCAGATGGAGCAGATTGCCCAGTTCCTGAAGGCGGCCGAGGACTACGGTGTGACCAAGACAGACATGTTCCAGACCGTCGACCTCTTTGAAGGTGCGGGAGAGGGGGCAGTTGGGGCTGGGGGATCCAGGGCTGCTGTGCCGTGCCCTTCCTCACATCCCTCCCTCCGTCCCTCGGCAGCCAAGGACATGGCGGCGGTGCAGAGGACGCTGATGGCCCTGGGGAGCCTGGCGGTCACCAAGAACGACGGCAACTACCACGGGGACCCCAACTGGTTCATGAAGTAAGTGGGGGAGCGCAGAGCTGGGTGTGGGGACCCCTTTGCCCTGCAGCTGCCCAGAGCACCCTGGAGCACGTGGAGGGGGCACGCTGGGGAGGGAGAGGGGCTGGGGCACCCCTGGGGATCGGGGGGGCCGCTGGTCAGCCGGGTGGGTGCGGGTGCCCCACGATCCCTCCCTGTGCCCCGCAGGAAGGCGCAGGAGCACAAGCGGGAGTTCACCGAGAGCCAGCTGAAGGAGGGCAAGAACATCATCGGGCTACAGATGGGGACCAACAAGGGGGCGTCACAGGCGGGGATGAGCTACGGCCGGCCCCGGCAGATCATCAGCTAGGCACCCCCCTGCCGCCCCCAGCCCTCCCCAGCCGGGACCTCCGTCTCCGCTTCCCCCCGGCCCAGCGCCGCAGCCGCCCGAGCGTCAGCGGCCGCCACCAGCCCCGCACCGATTGGTATTTATTGAGGAGCAAACGCCCCCAAACGCCAGCCAACAACGCCCCAGCGCCAGCGGCCGCACGCGCCCCGCAGAGCCCCCCGCCCCGGGGCCGCAGCCCCGCGCCCAGCCCCGGGCAGCCTCTGCCCCCGGCCTCGCACCCCCGCCAGCCGGTCCTGCCCCCGCCGGCACCCACGGGTGTCCCACGGGTGGGATGGGCACGTGCCCCGGCCCACGGGGCGGCCCCCCCTGCCCGCAGCCCCCCCCACGAGCCCCGCGCCACTGCCGCAGAGATCCCTGCGAACGGGGAGACAAAGAGAACTGGGCCTCGGTTTTGTACTTGGTTTTTGTCGAAATTAAAAGGTTATATTCATCTAGTTGTGGCCTGACGAGGTTTCCTCCCGCCTGGCTGGTGACGCTGGAAAAGCTGAAGCCACCCTCCCTAAAAGGCCACGGCTGCTCCTTCTTCCAGCTCCAAACCTGGGAAAACCACAGCTGCGGATCAGCCTTTCCCTGCCCGCCTTGGAAGACTCTGCCCTCTCCCCCTGAGGCTCAACACCCACCTTCCTCTTCACTCCTTGCAACACTCTGGCCCATCCCTCGCCTCCCCCTGCCTGGAGCAGCCCCCTGTTATCCCAGCTCCCGGGATCAGGGCATGGAGGGCACAGAGACCCACACCCCAGCCAGGCCCCGCTGCTGGGAGGGGATGGGTGATGCATTTTTCCACAGTGAGGAAGCTCTGGGAGAGCAGAGGAGTGACGGATGGGGGGAGAGAAGGGTTTTTCAGGCTTTATTTGGAAAGCTAGACAAAAGGGCTTTGCTGATTAAAAAACAAACCCCAGCCTTTAAAAAAATAAACCACCAAACCCAAAGACATGTGAACAAGCCAGCCCAGCTCAGATGAGCCACTGCCAGAGCAACTCATCCTCCCCTCCCTGGCCCAAACCAGGCATTGCTCCTGGCTTTGTCTCTCCTGGATGGGGAGGGAGATCCGGGACAGTGGCCCCAGCGAGCTCTGCTGCCAGAGGGACTCCTGTGCAGGAAGAGCCCCATCCTGTCCCCCCAAAGAGGCCTGTTCCTGCTTCCCCAGCCCCACAGATGCTCCATGCCCAGGGGAGAGGAGGAACCAGCAGGATCAGAGCACAGTGGACAGGGAGAAGCGCTGGTTGGAGATGAGTAAAGTAGCTCCCTGCTTCTAAACTGGGATAACTGGTGGGCACAGTCCACTGCCAGCCCAGTGGGCAGGAAGATGCCAATGCTGTGGGGTCCCTGCCTGGAGAGGCACCTTCCAGGGGCCCTGCCGGGTTTTCCAGGCTCTCTGCAGAAATCAGGGACAAAGGGACACGTCTTGCCTGTGCTGCCAGGCTTGGAAGCAGTGGTGTGAAGGGGGTCAGTGTGGAGCTCTGCCACAGCTACCACGCTCCCAGCAGGAATGGCACAGGGCCCTGCTCCACACACAGCAGGGCAGGCTCCCTCAGGAAGGGGTTTAAGGCTTGCTTTGTTTTCCAGAGCGAGGGAAGGGGAGCTCCCCTTCCAGTACCCGCACTCTTACGCTTGTTTCCGAGTCACTTCCAACACCACCTTCCACAGAACACAGTGGCAATGGTCCACGCTGGCTCAGGAACGAGCCTGTGCTGTCCGTGCCCAGGAGGGTCGTACCATGAGGGAGGCCCCAGGCCAGCCCCAGTCCCAGTCCCAGTCCCAGTCAGCACGGCCGGTGCTCCCTGCCCTCCATGAGGAGCTCAGCCGGTGCCTCCCGGCCCAGGTATCCCGCTCCAGCAGGAGCTGCCTCCTGGAAACTCACAGCTCTGCCATTGCTGGGCAGTTTGGGGTGGGTGGGGGTCCAGGACCCCTCCTCCCCATCCCGGGCAGGCTCCGGGTGCTCACACTCCATCTCGGCCTCCTCCATGTCCTTCTCCCGGTACAGTGGCACCGACTCCATCTCCAGGCCGCTCTCCAGGGCTCGGTGCTTCCCACCCTGCTGGTACCACCTGCAGCTGATGGGGCCAGAGCAGGCCAGGTCCAGCCCCATGTCGTTCCTCGTCAGGCAAACCTCCAGCATGTAGTAGAAAGTCCAGAACACAGCGAAGCATCCCAAGAGCAGGAGGGTCTACGGAGGGGAAACCCCTTGAGAAACACCACCCTCGACCCCCCACACACCCTGCCCACTGCCCAGCAGAGGGGTCACGGTGTCCCAAGCAGGGTCCTGCTCCTCCAGCCCATCCTGAGGGATACAGAGACCCCCTGGCTTGCAGGCAGGCTCACCTTGAGGGTGTTGGCTGTGATGGTGTAGTGCTGCTCCTCGGGGATGTCCAGCCCCGGGGGACAGGGCAGGGAGAAGTTGCTGCTCAGGTACTGCCCGCTCATGGCTTCCTCCAGCAGCCTGGGGACAGAAGCACCCCGTGAAGGTCCTGCAGGCAGAGGGGCTCCAGGGAGGGTCCCAAATGCCCACCAAGGGTCTGCAGTGCCTCTTTCAGCAGACAGTGCTGTGTTCTGCTCCCCACCGAGCCAGGACTGTGGTGTCCTACCTGCGCCGTTCCTTCATCTCTGCTGGGGACCAGGAGGAGCCGTACAGGGTCAGCTGCCACTGCTTTAAGGTGCCAGGCCTCAGGCTCTCATCTCCTGGGGAAGAAGCAGGTTAGTCCAGCGGGGAACTCTCCCAAGTGATGAGCTGGCAGCTGCCCGGCACTGGCAGCCCAGAGCTGCCCCCACCCCAGGAGTGCCCCTGGCAGGCAGGACTCACCGATGTCCCTGACCACCAGCCTGTACGTGCCCCGCGCCTCCTCGCCCCAGCACCGCACCGTGGAGAAGGTCCAGTCAGAGAAGCCATTGGGGTCCCTGCCGAGGGGTGAGGGGAAACAACCCGTGAGGGGCTCACAGAGCCTGAGCCACGAGGCTGACTCGGGGCCTGGGGTCCTGCCCTCCCCTGACCCCTCGGTGCTTACGAGTCCATGCTCCGGGTGGTGCCGATCAGAGACATCATCCCACTGGGGCAGAAGAGCCTGATCTCCAGGTTGCCACGGCGTGGGTGGGTTATGGTGACAGTGACTGCCACGTGCTCCAGGGTCCTCATGCCAGACAGCTCCAGGTCAGTGGTGGTGACTGGGAGAGGGAAGGTGGGGTTTGCTGAGGCTGGTGGTCGAGGTGGAGTCCCCACTCCCAGCCAGCCCCAAGGGGCTGTGATGCCATTTAACAGGACCTGTGTGGGACTGGGACAGGAGACTGGGTGTCTAGGATCCCCGATCCCATCTCAAACCATTCCCAGCTCCACAGATCCTCACAGCCCCAGAGCTGCCAACCACAGCCCAGGGAGCCTGGCACACTCCAGAGCGAGCTGTGGCCATGGCTTGGCCTGCTCCTGGCAGGTGGGTGCTCCCTGGGTGCACCTCTGCCAGCAATACAGCTGGGGCAGTGAGAGGTGCAGGGCCAGACTCCCAGGACCAGCATCTCCAGTGAGGCATGGAGGGGGAATGTGGCTCAGCCTCAGGGCAAGGAACTGTGCCCAGCAGAGCCAGGAGCTGCTGGGGGGCCGGGAAGGGCTTGGGCCGAGCTCTCCTTCCCACTGGTAGCAGCCTGAGCAGCGCCTTGTTGATGTGGACAGGGCTGGCCAAGTCGGGAGCTGGAGCATTACCTAAAATGGTCAAAGGCAGTGGAGCGGCTCTGGCCGCTGCCCAGCCCGTCCCTGAAGCCTGTCTGGCTCCCCAAACACATCAGTCCATGGGATGGGGTTATGGGGAGGGGACGGCAGCAACAGGCAGATCCCCTGGGGAAGGGCAGCGGAAAGAGAAGAAAAGGCCCAGGCAGCCCAGCACTTAACCCCTTCATGGCCTCACACAGCCCAGGGCTGGCCCTGCCCTGCTGGATCCCTGGCCTGGGTGTGTACAGCTCATGCTCTCCATGGCACACCTGCTCTTACCATTCCAGGCGACCTCCAGCTCCCGTGGGAGCAGGGGGATGCTCCTGCCCTCCTTCAGCACGGGGCTCACGTATGAGGCGAGGTACGGGACAGACTCCCAGATCTGTCAGGGGGGAGAGGATTCAGCATGGACTGCACCCTCCCTGCACATCCATCCCTCAGTCTCCTGGGGCTCTCACGAGCTGCCCCATGTGGGCCCAGGCTAAGGGCCAAGGCTGTTTTGGGGCACACAGACCTGGGCAGCACAAACTGGGTGCTGTGAGCACTCTGGGGATGGGAGCAGTGCCCACACACCCAGGAGAGCTGGAGGGGGGTGAGCAAGACTTGGGACTCCCCAGCCCTGGGTCTGTCCCCATCATCCCTCGAGTGGCTTTGAGTGGTTACTTGAGGCCATCCCATTCCAGCCCTGGGCACAGCGGGGCAGGAAGGGAGAGCAGCGTGGAAGTCCCTGTGACACTGGGGGCATGGCTGGCAGCAGCAGTGACCCAGCACAGCTGCTCAGCGCTCCACACACGAGCTGGGACCGAGTGCCAAAGGGACGTGCCCTGGTCTCCGTGTGACCGGAGCAGGAAGAGATGGGGATGCCGCCGCCTGCTCCGACCACAGCACTCCCCCAGAGCTGCCAGCTGAGAACACCCTGCTTCTCAGGGCAGGACACCCTCCCTGCAGCCACTGTGGAGGGAGGGAGGGAGGAAGGTGCTGGGGCTGCTGACAAAAGTCCCCACACTGTGAATCAGAGCTGTGGGCTCCCAGCAGCTCTCACCATGGCTATATATAGTGCTGGAGAGCAGCAGCCCGGGGGCAGCTCAGGCGCTGCCAAAAGCCTCATGACTTCATACCAAAAGCAGCCTCAGAGCCAGGGCCAGCAGGATGGTGGCCAAAGCATCGGCCCTGAACGGCAGCAGTGTAACCCCATGGCGTTGCCAGGACAGGATGTGTCCCAGCCACTGGGTTGGGCTGCTCTACCTGCCCAGAGGGCAGGTCTGGGAAGGAGGGAATTACCTTGGCAGCGTTGACCAGCCTCCAGGCGTTCAGCAGGCCAAAGCCATGCTGATGGCTGTGGCTGAAGCCTGCCTGGTTCTTGTCCCACTTAGCATGACGGTCCTCGTACTGCAAAGAAACGTGGGGTGCTCTGGTTACCTTGGGGTCTGTCAGCCCTGAGACCCAAAGGGAACCAGGCCTGAAGGGAAAGAGGCTCAGACACATCCCGCAGCGGCAGGGAAGCAAACCCACATGGCCTTATTAGAAAGAAACAGGTTGTCCTTCGTTTGAAACAAATGCCAGGGACAAACTGGCTTCCCAGCACCTCAGAAAGGAAATAGAGCAGCACAAAAGGGCACAAATGCCTCTGCTCTGAAACATCCCAGCTGCTCCCTGCTGCCCAAGCCACAGCCTGTGGGATGGCAGAAGCCTTGGAGAGAAGGAACTGAGTCCTTTAAATCAACAGGAGCTAGGGCAGGA